TATGGAGGACATGTGATGGAAAGTACAAGGGGAAGTTGTGGAGTAAATGTGTGGAGGAATGAATAGATTGAATGCCTTGGTAGGAGGAAACGTGTGAAGGGTTTCATTTATAACTGTAAATGTTACAATAAGCAAAAGCAAACAAAAGTTGTGATTAGAACCAACGATGGCCCATACTCTGCAGAATTCTTGTGAGATATTGCCTCAGATAAATTGCCAAAATATTGACATCTGTGAAGGGGAGGGGCCTCAATGGAATACAGATCAATAGCACTACCCCCACCTTGTAACCTTGTAAATATTAGTCTTCAAAGTCCAAGGGACTATATAGAAAATGGAAAGAGACAAATTTGATCAAATAGACAGATCAACACTGCAGATCACAGTAGAAACTAGACAGAGTGCACTCACGGAGAGTGCATACCTCCGCCAGCGACATACGCCATACGCCATACGACTGACGAACACACGAATAACCCACGATATACGCCAGCGTACTGGCATGTACACGCTGGCTTGTTGGCTTGCTGCTCGCTCACATGTACACGCTCGCTGGCTCGCTGCGCTAGCTGGCTGACGTGCTAATATCGATCGCACAAACACCTGAACACACTAACACACAAGAGTGATCACATAAACTCCTCCAACTCTGTTGGGCGGAGGTAAAAACCTCAAATTTGCAAATTAAGTGGAACGAATAAAACGCCATGAGGGTTTGACATCATAATCATGTTAACGTGTAGCAATGCACATGCGGCGTGCGATCAGTACCTTTAGAGTGCATTTCCTCAATGGGGTTTCACTGTGTATCTGTAAGCAATACACAACTTCTTTACTACCTGGACTGACGAGACTGCCACGCACCGTTTCCACGTATTCTGTCTGAAATAAAACAATTATTAAGATGGTAAAACATTGAAATCAGCAATAGGAAAATGATGAAGCGGTAATGATTAACAGCATAAAACCTTCACAGAACAAAAGATGACAATTAAAATATATAAAATGTAATAAGGAATCAATGTAAATTAGGAATCAACACATCTGAAAACTGCAAGTGGCTACCAAAATCGATCGTTTCACGAGTACGAGCGTAACTTGCTGCTACAGCGCCCTCACCACATCATTGTACACCTCCACGTTACGAGCGTCACTGATAATGACAATGTCAGAGATGGCGTGACAACCCTGCTTGGTGTCCTGGCAGGTGAGGGTCAGTTCACATGGCTTCTCATCCCCGTCAACCATGAACACTCCATCTTCATTCACGGTCTCCTCTTCAATCGTATTCGCCCTGCGTCAAGAGGAAAATATTGCATTAAGTCATTTCCAGCAAAAATCATAAAGCATATATATGCAAACCTGTGTAAAACTGAAACAAGTTTTTCTCATTCATATACACACATTGATATATTTATATACCAAAGAATGTATGCGAGAGTTACTCAGTTATATAGATTATAATACACTCCAACACAGTACACCACATGCACTTGGAACAGGAATAAAATAGTTGGAACAGGCTGGTATGAAAATATGGTCATAAATTTCCAACTTACATGCATACATTACATTACCAACTGCTCCGTTAACCACTGCAAATCATCTGCACGTGCATAGATTCATAGCACAGAGTAGCCACAAGTTCCCTTCTCGCTTAACACTACGTTGGCGAGAGGCGTACTACGTCCTACGACGTGTAACAGTCGGATAGCCTGGTCGGTTTAAGCACAGAGTATAGTTTTAATAACATACCGTATCATCACTCAATGTTATTAATCTAATCAAATCCTAATCAGGATAGTGTTTCGAAATTTACGACCATATTTTCATTACTGACTCTGTTCTGTGTCTGGTTCTGCAAAGTGTCTGTCTGTGCAGTACACGCCTTATGCCAAGTATATTATAACTAACGAGTAACGTAACGCCAACGGTAACAAGTTACCCGGGTATCTCTTGAAACCAGACTCAAGTCAAGAGTTACCAATGCAATAGGCAATACAAGTACCATTGCTCTGCATCGAAGCCATAACTGACAACACTGGTGATTTCTCCAACTTCACATGAGCGAAGACTACAAGCCCACGTTGCATTAAATGTACAGTATTGCATGTTGTTGTGTCCATATTACTTTTTAAGGAGTCAATTAAAAATGTCTTTCATATTAATTTAACACACAATCATGTTGTCAGTCATGTTGCGCACCCTGGTGTGAACTTTGCGCACCATTATCTAATTGTTTTTTAGAGCAAGGTTTGTACAAAATTCTACAAACATTTCTACTTAGATTTTTCCCCAAAGTAGAAAGCTCATATATATATAGGCCTACATGAGCTTTCTACTTCTATTTGGGGGAAAATCTAGGTAGAAATGTTTGTAGAAATTTCTATACGCAATGCCGATGGTAGATGGCAGCACTAATAGCAACTAAACAAAACAACTACGAAGACGTAAAAAACTAAAAAGCGCAAAAGCGCAGTGTAAACAGCGAAATAACGTTCAAATTGAACCTAACTCTAAATGAACACAATTACGAGTGGTATGTAAAGTTCTAAAATATCATTATTTAATGGCATTTTATATATTACGTCCTACAGACGTACTGCCACTGGCGTAAGCCTGCATTCAAGTAACACTAACACTAACACAGTAACAGTAACAGTTGAACTTGAACTAGGACCCGAACCACCCTCCCCTTGGCGATTATATAATATTATTAATAAGTAGGGTATATATAATATAATACATCACATGGGCTCACATGGATACAACAATGTTGATTACACCGTAGATCGTAAACGTCATCACTATGGCCATTACCATAATGCCAACCTAATTTATTCCTAACGCTAACAGTAACACACACTGTACAGTACCGGATACCAACCTGTACGTAGCCTGTAGGCTGTAAGGCTGTATCAACTATAGTTATTAGCAGTGAAAAAAAATTAATTTATTTCTATTACGGTGTGGCTCTTTTATATGACAACCCCAAAAATTTCAAGGGAGTACTTTTTCTTCTATCCCAGGGCTCTTTTTCCACTTTCCAGAGGCGACTTTTTCCAGCTGTTTCTCAAATGATACACACCAAGCACACGTAGCTCAATACACAACTCGCCAGGCGGCGAGCGCAGCACACACCACACACACGATCACACGCACGCACGCACGCAAACGCACGCAACGCAGACATGCACTGCAACACACCCCACACAACACCAACACACACAAGACAACACACAGCACAACAACAGTCATATATTCAAGACAGTATACATTCAATCAGACTGACAAGACTAACATGATAATCACACATTAACAAGTCACAACCACAAATGAATAGTGAATAACATCACAGAGTTCAGCTAACACAACAAGAAAATAATTACGGGCTATCCCAAATAGTGGAATGTCCGCACTAGTAACGAGCTAGGAGGAATCGATTTGATTTCATTACGGCGAAGTCATCTTGCGGACTGGGGCGTCAAGGCCCGCCGTAAGGGCCCTGGAAAGCTCAAGCGGGTGTTGAAGAAAGCGGGCCGCGAGGCACGTATGGTGAAATGGCTGTGGCACATACGACGCTGCGTACAGTGCTGACTGGCAGGAGGCAGGCATCTGATTGAATTTATGAGGGGGGGGGCACGATTGTTTCAGCGTGGTACAATAATCACTACTACACAATGTAGAGGAGTTGGCCAATTGACTGGGACTAATGGAGAGAAGCCGACAGCAAAACTCTTTATGATGGGAATTGAAACAAAACAAAGCTCAATATCGGGAATGAACACAACGCAGGATGATGCCGCCATGAGAAAAATTAACTTAGTGATTTCATTAGGATTTTCATGGAATTACAGTTCTATAAATTCTACGGGTCGATTTTGGTACCTCACGGGTCTAACGTAAAAGGCACGCACTGGCAGGCACAAACCCGCACACACGCCCCGACACGCATATGACAGGCACGCATCAGCGCGAAGGCACGCACGCAGGCACAAACGCAAGCACAGCCCGCAGGACCACACCGGACACAAACAAGGCACGCGCGAAAACGAGCCCGCACGCACGCACGCCGCAGACACGCACCAGCGGCGGCACAACGCAAGCAAAGGCCATAGCAGGCTCACCAGCAGCATCGCACCACCGCGAGCAGGAGACACGCAAAGCCGCTCACAGGCACACAAGATATAATACGCGCGGGCAGGCGGCAGCGCGCTTGACTTGAATGCAATAACAACACTGCATGCTTAATGATAAACACTGACAGCATCACACCGTACCGTTCTTACCGCACGCCGAATAGGAACCGGACTTGCCGCTTAACGCGGCAGAGGGCGAGCCGAGATCGGCAAGGCGCGGGACCGACATGGACAATCGAATATAAATCACAAGAGGGCGGACTTATTTGTTTTTAGGAGGATACAGCCCCGATATCTACTTATATCGGGGGGCTCTTTAATTGGAAACATTTCAGGCCCCGGAGCGAAATCGCCCAGCCGCCACCCCGCTGTATTTTTTTCCCCTGGTTATTAGTATCACTGTATGCACAGTGATCAGTGTCGCTAGAAGAGGGGATCCGTTGATCAGCATATATGTACCGAGATATAGTACTGAAGGTAGTCAGAGGGAAGATTATGGTCGCATACGCTACTCCAACTAACGACTGGACCCTTAACACCCATAACCAATACCATATATCAAAATCAAGTTCACCTCGGGTAACATATTATACGCCATTATACGACAACGACCCTTTGTGCGTCAGTGTCAGTACGTGGTTCACTGGTTGGCCAAGAAGGCAAGATAATAAAAAATAATAAAAATAATGTGATTCAAAGTAATAGGCATAGCCATAGGTATAGTCGGTATCTATGCTAATCGGATAGTATAAGTATATTATCATGTAATTTAGTTAGTAGCCATTACATAAGTATGTCTATTTAGTATTTGCAAAAAAAAGGGTGATCATGTGATTTGTTATTTGTTTCGTAGCATTAGAGCAAGATGATCAACAAATAGCTCAACACAGCACAGCACCCATCATGTTGGAAACGAATTCTTACCTGACCAGTGCGCCACCTGTTGGCACAGAAGGCTTTCAATCTTCCAACAATTCGACACTCATCGTCTCAACAAGTCTCAATGTGCCGCAGGCAACAGCGTTCTCTTTTCTAGGTGTGTTGATCACGACGTGAATATTTGACGTTTGCTATTTGAAAGTCTAATTGTGTTGTAATCACTGTAAAAATGTAATAACGTTATATAAAAGGCAGTTAATCTGAGGTTTTCTCTGTATGGAAGTTGTAACACTAACGTTCTGTAGGCAATTCGCATTCTAACCTGTTCTCTCTCTATATATACCTGTTTACAACGATACATCAGGAGTTGGAACGCACCAGCCACACAATATGATCCCACCTGAGCAAGCAGAATTGCCATTTATATCTGCACAGCAAGGAATTGGTCTGCAAGGTATGGGTATTATTGTAGATGGTAATACATAACAGAAGATAAGAACAGGATGAAATGCTCGTTTTTGTTGTATATGTCACACTTGTTATGAAAAGCACAGCAATGTGTTGATTGCAAGTGTAGACGAAATAAAAAATGGCAGCAACCATTGCTCCTCGTTGTGTCTTCATGCTTAAGTTTGGGGTTTGTGATTTTGTGATGTATAATAATATTAAATAATAATAAATCTTGGTCTGGGTTTGGATCGTTGTTGGGGTCTGGATTGGGTTCAGGGTCTTGATTGGGATCGGGGTCTGGATTGGGATCGGGGTCTGTATCTGTGTCTGGATTGGGATCGGGGTCTGGATCTGTGTCTGGATTGGGATCGGGGTCTGGATCTGTGTCTGGATTGGGATCGGGGTCTGGATTGGGGTTGGGGTCTGGTACTGGGTCAGGGTCTGGTTCAGGGCCAGGGTCTGGTTCAGAGATCGTCATACAAGACCTGCCACTGCACTGACCTTGTCATTTCCCTAAAGGTCAACAAATCGGAAGTGCGCCGCAGCAGGTGATGGCTTCGCTGCCCGCTGTGTCGGCCACACCGATCTACTACACCTCCATGCAGGTGCAGATGATGGTACCACCGGACCAGGTAGCCATGCAGCGACCCCCCGTCCCACCCATGCATCAGCTAGATCTCTACAGTCAGGTATCTATGTCACGAAACGTTCATTCGGCGATTTTTTAGCGAAGAATTTTTGAAAGGGAACTAAGAATTTTATTTGAGAGCGATGAAGAATGGTTATGAATGAATGATTTATTAGAATGGTGATGAACAGAACGAGTGATTAATGAAGAATTATTATATCAAAATTTGAAGAATTTTAGCAAAGAAAACAAATATTTTAAATTTTGTGTGAGTTTGGAGTAAACGCTGGTTGATTTTATTGCTTGCTTTTAAATATTATTACTTTAAAAACTACCTTGCGTATGTAGAGATGACAGTAATGCATGAGTTTACAAGTGATTCACCACCAGTTGGATTTTTATTATGATTTTTGTTGAATGTTAAGACTTATGTTGTTATTGTTGGTTGCTCTGATTAACATACAGCAGCAGCAGCAACAACAACAGCAGCAGCAGCAACAACAACAACAACAACAGCAGCTGCAGCCGCAGCAACAACAACAACAGCAGCTGCAGCCACAGCAACAGCAGCAGCAGCCACAGCAACAGCAGCAGCAGCAGCAGCCACAGCAAGTGCCTTTAGCTGTGATGGGTCAGGTTCCACAAGCTATGACACACACGTTGCCCCAGATACACCCTGCAAGCCTACATGTGTGTTCACCCGTAGGAGCAAGTATACTGCCAGCAGTTCAAGACCACCAACAAAATGACGACTCCATATGGGCCGTCATATTAACTGATTTAGGTATAATTACAACCATAATAATAATAATAATGATAATAAATAGGAATATTTTTGATAATATATATCTAAAACGTCTAATAAATGTTAAGTTCAGTAATTGAATCGATAATTGATAATTGCATATGTTTATGCTTGACCGCTGTTTGATCTTCAATTCACACAGGTAACTCTATAACCCAACAACAACAACAACAACAGCAACAACAACAACAACAACAGCAACAGCAACAACAGCAACAGCAACAGCAACAACAGCTGCAGGTCCTTCCAGAGCAGCAGCAGCAGCAGCAGCAGCAGCAGCAGCAGCAGCAGCAGACGTGTGAGCGTAGCAACGACGCCGTCCCACCGATCGCCGCCGGCAACGAGCAGCCTTCCCAGAAGAACCTCATTGTCGAGAGGAAGAACCTGATCGAACGGCGGACGAAGGACGCGAGAGAGTTCGAGTGCAACATCTGCCACAAGCTGTTCGCGAACCTCTCGAACGCCGTGAGGCACGTCCGGGTGCACAACGGCGCCCGACCGTTCGCGTGCGACGCGTGCGACGCAAAGTTCTCGCAGTCGGGACACCTGAAGCGGCACAAGCTCGGCCACGGAGGCGTGAAGCCTCACGAGTGCAGCGTGTGCGGGCGCTGCTACCGCGTGCGCGAGACCCTGCAGCACCACATGCTGTCCCACAGCGACGAAACTCCGTTCTCATGCGACGTCTGCGGACGCAAGTTCAAGGACGGGCGCGCAAAACGCGCGCACGCGCGGATACACTCCGACGGAAAGAAATACGCGTGCGCGCACTGCAGCAGCAAGTACTTCAGGAAGAGTCACCTCGCCCGACACAAGAAGGTCGCGCACCCGCACCTGAAGGTGTGCGATAAGTGCGAGAACGAGTTCGAGGGGCAGGTGGCGTTCCTGTGCCACCGGCGCACGTGCGGCAAGCGCATCAAGGTTCCCGCCAACGGCAAGGTGTACATGTGCAACGTCTGCCAGGCGATGTTCTCCAACGTGTCGAACCTGAAGCGACACTACCGCACGCACACGGGAGAGAAGCCGTTCGCGTGCGCGACTTGCCGGGCGACCTTCGTCCAGTCGAACCAGCTGAAGCGGCACGCGCTCAGCCACACGCGGGAGAAGCGCTACGACTGCGCGCGCTGCGGAGCGCGATTCGCGTCGCGCGACTCGCTGCACCGACACGAGCGCCGGCACACGGGCGCGCGACCTTACCGCTGCGACCTCTGCGATAAGAGCTTCCCCGACCTGAAGAATCTCAAGGGTCACATGGTCGTGCACTCGGACGAGCGGCCGTACGGCTGCCCGTTCTGTCCGACGACGTTCAAGCGCGCGCCGCATATGAAGCGACACGTGAGGAGTCTACACGCGGGCGGCGGCGACGACGACGACGACGCGCGCGGGAAGGGCGTCGCCGCCGCCGCCGCCGCCGGGAGGGGGAAGACGAAAAACAGGTCGAAGAGGAGGAAGAGGAGCGATGTGGAGCTATCGGCCGGTCCCTCCCTCGCGACTGACGGCGCTGGCGGGGACGATGTTAATCCGTCGTCGACGTTAGACGATGCAGCGGGGGATGTTGAGAGTGCTGACAGAGAGAAGAGAGTGATAACTTGATTCCGCGACAGAAGTAATATATTATCGTTTTTATGTGTGCGTCGATTTTTGTCTCGTCGCGCGTGTATGAATCTCACGTGGTAATGTAGTGTGTACAACGAGATGTTTTCGCGATGTTACATGTATCCAGTCTCATTTGCTTACATTTTTTGGTGTTACGTTGAGATTTGACGGCATTCACAGTAAACACGGTAAATCTAAGTAAATAGGGGGTTTTTCCCGGCTGCTGTCCTGGGTTTTACTTAGTAATTGCAGTCGGCTTGACGCACGCTAAATTACTTTTCGATTGTTCGCAGCCTTGAACGCAGGAAATTGCTTTTTCGTTGAATGCCTGCTTTCTGATTGAAACTCGCTGAAATATTGGATTGGGCTAGATCTTGTAATGGCATCAAAAGCTAGATTGACATGTACTACTTCAGCAAATAGTCGGTGACACCAGTGGTGGGTGTCTAAATTAGCACTAGCCTGGTGCTGCCTGTGTTTGCATCGTCCTATAATTCACTCTATGCTAGCCGGCTGGCTACATGTGGCAGCATGAAGATATATACATCAAAGTCTAATAATACATTATCTAATTAATAAATAATGTATTATTAGCTCTCACATACATGCAGATATCTATACTTTATAGTAAGCTAGATTGCCATGTACTACTTCAGCAAATATTCGGTGACACCAGTGGCGGGTGTCTAAATTAGCACTAGCCTGGTGCTGCCTGTGTTTGCATAATGTATAGTACAGGTGTGTGCATGGTGGTAGCTCTACGACATGCAGCCTGTATGGGAGAAGGGATTACTGATAATGATGATGTAATTGAAAATGAATGTAGGATATGTTGCAATGGAATGTAGGATATGTTGTGATTGAATATAGGATATGTTGCAATGGAATGTAGGATATGTTGCAATGGAATGTAGGATATGTGTGCAATTGACGTAGGATATGTTGCAATTGGAATGTAGGATATGGGTGCAGGAGGTGATGTATATGTCGTTGCCGATGGAGATGTAGGAGTACGCTTGCTGTTGAATGTTAGGTATCCTACGGTTCGGCAATTGGAATGGAAGGATAGCACAACCTACGAGTTTATTCGATTTTATACGATTTCTATTCTTTTGCCACCAACTACGACGCAGGTTGTGTAGTCAAACGACGAATTTCATGGTGATAAAAGAAAAAAAATTTGTGTTGGTCAATTATTTGTCATTTTTTGTCAATTTATTGGCAAATTTGACTCCTAGATGCAGGAAATTGTATCTCAGAATCAAAAAAAATTTCCGGGGGCAAGCGGACACCCTAGCAACTCGGGTCACTACGTGACCGCTCGAATATAATTGATGGCCGAAACTACAGAATTGCTTCAAATAGTTGTGTTGGATATCTGCATGTGATGGAACAAATAAGAACAACTGTCGCGAAGTATACTTTGTGTATAAAATAAACACTACGTATAGGGACCATGCACATTATATGTACGATTCGTCAAGTATGATCTAGCAGCGCACAGTAATATTTAATATCACGACCTAGATTATATATTAAAACAGTGCATTTCACTCCGGTACTATACAATGACGGCAGTTTGTAAGTTAATGCGTCATGAATCATCAGTCATTATGGCTAGCGAGACAGTGATCATGTAATGTGGAGTGTTGTGCGTGCGTTAAATCGGGGGTCAGTTTTCAATCGAATCTACAAAAGTGTTTGAATTCCTAAAAACTTAAATATGTAAAGATCCTATATAAAAACGGTGTGTGCGCGCAACGCACGCAGTACCAGCAAATATGCACAAACACACAGAAAGACGCACGCCACGCCGCTACCAGGGGCGTAGCTAGGATATTTTTCAGCGGGGGGGCGGGGCACTGGGGGCCTTAGCATGTTTCGTTGGGGGCACAATATATAACTTTTCTTTGTTATATATTTCTAACGGCCATTGTTTTAATTCAATTTTTTTTATCAAGCATGAATTTTCAGTGGGGGGCACCTGGGGGGGGCACAGAAAATTTGTGGGGGGCTCGTGCTCCCCCAGGCCCCCACGTAGCTACGCCCTTGGCACGTACACACACCAACATACAAACAGACAGACAGACAAACGCACTCACGCACGCGTGTGCATGCCCGTGCGTGCCTACACGAGTGCGGCCGCGCGGGCATATATGTCACGTGTGATGTGTTAATGTGTGTATATCTATGAACACATACGTGAATGTGTGAACTTGTGAACGACGAGGTTACTGTTGTTATTGAATCTTGAGATAAACTTCTAAAATACAACGTTTAATTGCTGAGCAGACGTAGGCGAATATGGTGGCCGCGTGCGTTTATTTTTTGCTGTGGGTATATCGTATATGCCCGGCAGCCGGGCACGGTCTTCGATTTCCTAAATGACCGGCAGTTCCTAACGCTAACCCTAACCCTAACCCTAACCCTTGTTTACTTGAGATAACGCTGAAAATTAA